TCATTCGGAATTGTTGCAACAACAGGTAAGCAGATAGTGAATAAATCAGCTTTGCAAATTGCGGCAGTAGGACAATACCACCGAGAATATAAACGATGAAAACACTACATGGAGAACGTCCGCATCATTGCTTGGTGAATTCCAGACGTTGCAGTAGATTGGGCAGGTAACTTGACCCAAATGTGATTAAACTCGCGTCGTCCGGCGGGGCCACGTAGCTCAAGTGGTTAGAGCGTTGGCTGTACCAAAGCCTTCCCCCCTACTGCGTGGGTTCGAATCCCACCGAGGCGTCGAGTTTTTCCCAGTTGGGTCAATATGAATTATTCAAAATCTGCCAAAACATCTATGAATTAAGTATAAGTATTTGGTTGTGTTTGCCGTATAGCTCGCGGGTTATCTGTGAAAGTTATTTGACCGCAATTGAGGGAGAGTTGTATCTCCCACGTAAGTTTCTAATGCATATTCAGACTGCACAGAGCACTTGTTAGTTGGGCTCTTAACCAAAAATTGCAGAATATAATTCACACACGTTTTCTGATAATGGAAAAGTCGAGAGGGAATGCATAGAGCGGGTCATTTTTATTTAACTATTTTATTAGCTGTCGCATCAAGACTGGGTGCGATTAGTCATTAATACTCTTTTGTTGATCAAGAGTGTTCCCAAGGGCCGTCTCTGTGATAAGGCTGTGTTTGACCGATCCTACGCAACTTTAATTCTTTAGGATCATGCGTATAAAAAGTCCTTTTTAATCCGATTTCCTGCCATAAATACTGTGGGATTGCAATTATATGCGCATCTCACGACCGTTCTCTGACTGAGAGGAAGGGCCGAATAAAAGTCAGTAGTTGCACTTAGATGGAATCCCACTCGCATGCTAGTCAAATAGTCGGTTCTAATATTTGGCTTCCACACATACCCTTCTACAAGGTTAGACAATTTAGCCTCGCGTGTCCTGTCAGCACTAATTACTTATCTAGCTGAATCCGACAAAATCGTCTCCTCGTTCAACGGACTCCCGACTCCATTTCAGGTTACGTAAAAACACTACGTTAGAGACTCGCAAAGAGCTTACAGAAGAAAGGTAAAGAACCCTAAGGCAGAGCACACCATGAAATCTTTCCAGTTCTGTCAAAAATCTTTGTTCGCAACATCGGGTAGGGATCGGAAACGCAGGAATATGATGCCAAGGTGTTGAGGTTACTTCTAGAGTCAAAGTTCGTGCAAAATTGTTGCTCATGCAGATCTGTATTTCAGAAGTAATGCCACTGAAAACAGATTAGGAGCACGCGAGCAGTCCGTTGAGCAGTTAGTCCTGTGCGCGACGGCGCCATGCAAATATACAAGCCAACTTGGATACGGATTGAGGACAAAGTTGCGTGGGCGTACACTGACTCATCGACGTGTCGCCTTATGGTTTCTTCTAGCTCTCCGCAGTCTGGAAAAAAAGCTCACCTTCATTTTTAATGCCTCAGTGTAAGTGAACGAACCAAAACTAAATTAATTTAAGATTATTGGGCATGGGAACATGGTACTGGAACGGTCAACGGATGTTTTAGATCTCACCCTCTTCCACCTCCCAAGTCATGCACAGTCAAGCAGAATGGTACTGGCCAGTCCCGTGATTTCCGACTGCCACCGCAGCAGATACAAGCATTCATGGGGACATGGAGCAGATTTACTCAGTAGGCGTTCAGTTTCAGCTGTTCCGCTTTGAACTTCCCTCATATCTCGCAGGACGGACTCAAATGAGGCTCGTTTTTCTCATACTCAGCCCCTTCTCTCCACCTTTCATAAACCTTTGTAACTTCATGGCTGGAGCATCAATAAGTGGCATAGAAATATAAAAAACGCTCGTCAATATCAGTCTAAAGGTTATGCGGAGGTAGTATTGTCATACTGCCCTCCTGTCTGAAAGACTGAACTTACACGTTAACAGTCAATAATTAATGTTTCGCCTTGTTTTACAGCATTAACGGATCTCGGCCATTGCGAGTTCCACTCATGTAGGCGATCATCGCGGCAAAAAAAATAAAAACAAATTTAGTCTGTAAACACCGACCACTAGTAAATCACTGACGATTCATCTTAGTCTCTGGCCATCATGAAATTGCCGTTAAGCCGATAGGAGAAATTCGGTCAATGTACGAGAGGAAGTAGCGTCTAAGATCCCTAAAACTGTGTCCAAGCAGCTGGAGAGGGTTCGGACTGCATCTGGTAGTGGCGGTCGTTCGACGTGTGTCGAATAGGGAGTCGCACAGAACAAATTACTCGTAGAGGTCAATTACAACACTTAATTTGCACAATTTCAACTAGAATATAGCCACGCTTGTCGGAAGTGGGACATCTAACGAATCCCGAGGTAAACCTTCCGGACGAACTTATGATGGAAAGGTATGACTTCGTAAACAGCTCCCTGCAAAGCGAATTGGGCGCGAGAATATGGAGCGCCGTATAACAGGTGGTTTTACAGTAAATCACGGGGGATTGGGGTTCGGATTAGGGTCGGGAGAGTTAGGATTTGGGTTGGGCTATGCGGGTTAGTGTTAAAGTTAAGGTTAAGGTCACGAGGGTCACTGTTAGAGCTGAGAGGATTGGGGCTATTGTTAGGGTTAAAGTTAGGAATAGGGAATGGAAACTCCCCTGGAATTTAGCGCGAGGCCACCCATAGCACGCAAGGTTCCGTGTTTAACCGCAAGGCGTGCCAAATACCTCTGATCAAGTACTACGTCGGGTATGCCGAAGAGGTGGAGGAGCTGTTTTTTACTACAGGAACAGAAGAACAAAGTAAACGGAGTGAACAGTTTCAGGCTAATAGTTTGGGGAGAAAGAGGGGATCGTCGGGACAAACTTAATGGCAGACGGACATCAGGAGAGCTGGGTCGGCTGTCCGTTATTAAAACTATCCGAAAATTCAGTCCGTCAAAGCATCTGGTCATACGTAGTCCTCTCTCGTTTTATAAAACAGACCGCATTTAAAGGGCCTAATGGCCGTCTATATTTCTTGTTTAACCTGTGATAAAGTCCATGTTTTTAGTACGTGCCCACAAGAAAAGTGGACATTTACTGGTCTGAGCTACCTTCATTTCCATCGGTTAACGTGAAGGACTGTTCACGGAGGAGGGGGAGCAGACTGCAGCATCCTGCAACAAAACACACGATGTTTCCTATTCACACTCCTTGGTTCCAAGGGCAAATACCTTTTCAACGAAACACACATCCGTTACATGTAGGAAAACCAGAAGTGCCAATAGCTTAGGCAGAAAAAGGTTGCAATGCTGGATTGGCTGACAGCGTACCACACTGACAGGGAATGGGATATGTTGGTCCAGATCGTACACAACGTGACTTGCGCATCTGCAAGAGTAAGACGAGACTAGAGGGCTAGAACCGGAAGGAAGGCAGGATTCTGCACCACCTACGCTGGTGAACAGTGCACAGGGCATACACATAAAAGTTAGGAAGGAGAGGAGGAAGCAGAACGCTGTTCAGACGCATTTCTGCAGCATAAAATTAGAACGATCGTTTAGCATTTATTCAGCTTTTTAAATAAATGAATTTTCGACAGAGGCCAAAAACTTAAAACTGGAAAATACTAGCGCAGTGAAATACAGCACGATCTAAAAAGTTATGAAAGCAGAAGTGGACTTATGCAAAGGATGATATTTTAGGTAATCTAGTCATTCGCGTCCCCGTCAGAAAGGCGCATCAGTCACATTATATCTGAGCGCAGTCGGAATTCAAATCAAAAAACATAATGTGAGCTGTGCGCGTCCACTAGCGGAATCAACTGAAAAGCTCAGTTGCCAGTGATAAAGAACGGCGTGAAGAGGAGAAGATGTCCTTGCTGTGAATTAAGGGAAATAATGGTCATTTTCAGTGATCACCAAGGACTGACGAAACTGTCCAGCTGGTATGCTAGCTGCTGGCTCCGAAAAGAGTTTGGTGGTTGTTATTGATCGGCGGAAAAACCGTCTCGCGCTTTAGTGCAGGGGTATATCCATGAGATGTTTATGAATGGCACGTCGAGGAAGTTGGTAGATGACAGCAATGAACACGAACGCAAGTTTAACAACTGTCACACCAAACGCGCCATCCCCACCCTGCTGGCGCAGACGATGAACAGGCAGGCGCCAACTATTTAGCCTCCCTTGCCGGCCTTCATATATCCTAACTTTAACGATTCCTGTGGAAAATTAACGGTTTGTAATCCACTAATAGATGTTTTGGCAGATTTTGGATAATTCATTTTGACCTAACTGTGAAAAACTCGGCGCCTCGGTATGATTCGAACACGCGACTGCAAGGGGAGACTTTAGTACAGCCAACACTCTAGCCACCGAAGCTACGAGCCCCCACTGGGAGAGGTGAGTTTAATTACATTTGGGACAGGTTACCCACCCAGCCTACTGCAACGTCTGGAATCCATCAGATCTGATACAGTAAGCTGATTGCCCAAGCAGGATTTCCTAAATAATATATCTACAATCCACCAGATGGCTACCGGGTTCATGTAGCTGTTAAGTTTTTTGGCAGATTTTGAATAATATTTTCAGAATTCGCTGTGCAAGGATGCAAGTCCGAAATAGTAAAAGAACGTTTTCAACGCAATCCTTCGACGGGGAAAGCGATAAGCTCGTCTGAGACGATTATGGACATCACATGACGGGTTCCACCACTGCACGATACATAGAAAAATGACGTAGACATTAAAGTCTGTATCATTATAAAAATTTCAGGGCACCTGCCTTAGCAAATCTCGCAACCAATGACCAATGAGATAACTTTCAGAACGGCACTTTATGTCAGAAGTTCCTGCTAAATTTGTAAAATGTCCCAATCAGGCCAATCGTATCCCTTCGTGGCACTCCGACGTACGGTTTGGCAAAATGGATGTTCGGTCTTCTAAAGTTTTTGGCCGAAGGCTCACCAACAACAGTAGAATCTGGGTATCAATTCCTCGAACGCATAAAAACATCCGAAGTTAGAGCCAGACGAGTCCATGGTATCCTTTGATGTCGTTTCGCTCTTCACCTCCATTCCACTGCAACTAGCGATAGACGTTGTGGACCAACTACTGGTAGAGCGTTATGAGGAGAGAGACAAACCCCTGAAATCTGAGCATCTGCTCGAACTTCTGCAATACTGTCTCAAGATCTATTTCGCCTTCGGCGGACAAATGTACGAACAAGTAAAATGCACTCCTATGGGCTCCTCTATATCAGGCTTAATCGCTGAACTTGTTCTTCAACGGGTAGAACACTTGGTGTTCACCAAGTATCAACCAAAGTTATGGGCGCGCTATGTCGATGACACCCTTGTTGCCAAAACAACTGACATTGAGCACCTAAAGGAACTACTGAACTCGGTTGACCCGGATATCCAATCTACGATGGAAGCAGAAGCAAACAACCCAACTGCCCTTCCTTGACCTACTTGTGCGCCGGTGTACCACTGGACAGCTGCAAACTACAGTATTCCGAAAATCCACCGACACAAGACAGGTCCTACACTTCAACAGCAACCATCCTCTGTCTCACAAACGTAGTTGTGTCCGCACTCTATTCCAAAGAGTCGAAACACACTGCAGCACGCCAGAACATAAGAAGACCGAACGATTGTACCTTGTGAAACTATTTGCAGCAAATGGTTATCCCAGACATTTCATCGAGAAAAGCAGACGTTGGGCACCCAGACGACGGCCAAATGAACAGCAACCCGAAGTTTGGAGGACCATTCCTTACGTTAAAGGGCTCTCTGAAGCGGTCTCGCGACTGTTACAACCCACCAGAGTAGGCATAGCCCATCGACCACAAGCAACAATTCGACGTCGCCTAATGCAACCTAAGGACCCATTTCCACCCGCTGAAACCTCAGCAGTCATCTACAAAATAAATTGTAATGAGGGCGACTGCAACTATGTGGGCGAAACCGGCGGAACTAGCAAAGTCGCCTACAAGAACACAAATCGGCCACTCGGAGGTTAGACGCTAGCTCTCAACTATTAACCCACGTTGGAGAAACGGGGCATACTTTCGACCTCCAGAGGGCTACCATCTTAGGCCGAGGCAACACAAAAACAGAACGGTTAACTCTCAAGGCGTGTTTCTCCGATGCCCACTCTATCAGCAGGCATCTGGACCTTCCTGCAGCTTACAAAGTCCTACGTCATCACAATCGTGGAGCTCAGGACCAAACAACCACACCGGACTTAAGAAGTCCGTACGGAGATAGCACGACGCTGAGTTTACTTGGTGCGGAAGAAGAAGAACCGCCCGAACGACCGCCCGATAAAAGTCCAATCAGCTTCCCTCGACGGAGTGGTGAATCACAAAGCACACAGGCAAAACGCCCGTCAACTATCTCCCGAGAGGCCAAGGCAGCGAGAGGAGAAATAAATCGATCAGCACGAGGTCGGCCAACACGACACGCCACTTTAAATTACATGTCTGATCGATTAAGTGCATTTTACGCTTTGACAATGAAGAGCCGGCCCAGCTCTTTGAAAAGTCAGCACTCAAATAAACATGTACCGGAGAGCCTATATTCATCTTCAAAACGGTATTAGTCAAGAATGCCTAAGGAAGACGATCTTTCTGATATTCACAAACCTGGCGTCCCACTTCGATTGATCGTCTCCTTAGGCGATGGAACAAACCATGAAATTTTCTAGTGATTAGTGCACTGGCTCCTATAAAAAAATTGGACTCGCCATTAATAAGGCCAAATTATTCTTATACAAAACAGAATGAACCAAATTTTTGATAGAAGAATAATACCATTTACCGCGGTTTCTCCGTTAAGTGCGATCTAACCGGAGTTAACGAAAACTGCACCGAGTACATCGTCTGTCATTCATCTGCTTTGCTTTGATTCCAAACTTTGTCCTAAAAGTGCATTTCCTCTAGTAAAGAATACTAGTAGGAATTAAAGTAAACCCTAGTGAGTTTGCTTACCTACGGCCTTCTGATGCACCCATAACGTAGAAGTTGGAGGCCATAGCTTTTGCTCCCAACTTGGTCCCAAATTGTGGGTACGCCCAGGAGATGTCAACTAAGGAGGATTTCTGTTTTATGGCTGTCCTAGATTACTATCATTCGTCGACTGTTCCAATATTAATTGCTTTGTGGTGTGCGGTTTAAGGCAACAGACAGGTGACACGCGCTGCCAGTTACGATTGTTATTTTTGAACCCCTGATGTCTGTTTGTTCCCTCGCACAAAGTCTCTTTTTCATGCCCTTATGTAGGGAGTTATATTAACGCTTGCACGTCATTGCGCATGCATGTTTTAAATCACAGGAGTACCGTTGTCTAGGTTAGTCACCTCTTTCTTCGAGTGCGTTATTTTAGTAACATGAAATGCCCTATTTGAAAAAACGTTTTGTGAGTCTTTTATGAGTAATATGGGTGAGTACATAGTACTGTTGAAGACTAATAGGCAAAATACATCAGGCACAAAATGTGATAAGTGCAAGTGACCAGTTTGTATATAACACTGGTGTTTCCTACTGGTTCATAGCGCCTTTTTTCATTTATGTGCTTGGCGATTTGTCAGATCTCACTGCAGATCAATCTACAGATCTGTCGCCGCCTTGCTTTTCATTGGTCGTAATTTTTTGAATCAGACCCAATTTGCTATCTAGGCCGTCTCTCACTTTCAACCAGTACCGTGACTGTCTTTGACTCCCAGCGCTAACGCGTCAGTCACCTGCTTTAATTATCTTTCCGGCATCGCTAAATCATGACCACGGAGTCGGTAACGACTGGATATGTGAGCTCATGTTTTTATTACTATAACATGCCTACGTATTTGACTTTGCTGTGTTCGTTAGGTTAGGATTACGTTTCTGGCCAAGCTTAAAGAATGATCAAATTTATGGCTTATTTTAAGGTAGGTGTAGGGTTGTGGTTTTATGTAAGCTTACCTGTCGCGTACCACCTTACCCAATCTGGCCTTTTTTGGCCAGTAGGTTTGGGTTATCTTTTTTCCGTCCGTCTACGCGCCCTGATTCGCATACGTAAAATTGCGCAGGGCTTAGTGATGTTGTGCTTCGGTTGTGCGCTGTAGAATCCCGTTTTGCCTTGTGGCAGACTGCAAGCGAGGAAATGGAAATGCCTTATGGCGTAGCTGCATTGCCAATGAATTTTGCTACCGATCTCGGGGATATTACAGACGCTCCACGAACAGACGCCCCTAAAGGAGGCAATCACCCCACTCCGCATCTCCCCATAAATCTCACAAGGCCTGAAGAGTTTGATTTCCGAGGAAGGCCTCTGCGATAGGAAGCCTACGTAGCTTCTTAGGCGTCTGGAGCAGCTGACCGACAGACAAAATTTTGCTACCACAATGTTCAAGCACCTTTCTCCCCAACGATTGCCTTCTTCTGGTGCAAGTAATGCTTGCACCTAGAATACCTTCCTAGTCTGTCCAAGTGTTCGCGCAGACGGCTGGCCGCATCCTCGAGTACAAAGTTTTCCAGCTTCCTGCTGCTCATGTCCCTAACCGTTGAAGCCATTTCATTACTCTCCGTCCGAGGTCTCCCACTACAGTCTCAGGCCCGTTCACGCCTGGTGGTTTCTGCTGGGTCCAAGGCCCATCACGTCCGGTCGCCATGCCGTTACAAAAAATCATCGACAGAAACCTCACCTGCCGGTCAGTAGCGACGACGGACTTGGCCGGCCCAACCTCCACAAGTCGCCTGCTCTACATATTCCTTTTGCGTATATCGTACAAAGGAAGACACTAGAGTCATACCGTTTTAAATTAGGGAATTCGTTATGCAAAAGGTCTACGGACGATTAGTTTCCTCTGAATGCAGATGAAACTATCCTTTATCTGTTCGACATCAAACTTAATATGCTACAATCAGAGGTTTTATCAGTAGGACTTCGCTTTTGCCTTCCGAACAGGAAATCAAACTCGGTTAACATGGAGGCTCATTTTGAACACCTGAATTCATAACTGTCTGACCTATTACCTAGATCCACCAACCATGTCGGCTGGCTGAAAGCAAAATTTGTGGACACTACTCATCAGTACTGTAATGCTCCTGTAACACAACGGACTCATTAACCAGAAACGCGTAGCTGCCCTATCTGCATTTAAATGTCATGAACAAATAATAATTTCTAAGCCAGACAAAGGCCATGGAGTCGTTATCCTTAACCGTAAGGACTATGTGAGGAGAATGAAGTGCGTTTTTAACTATTAGAGCAAATTTTCTCTAGAGGCTTCTGGGAAAGATGAAACCAAGGCATCGGAAGACTCGGTCAAGGAAAAGGTTCAGCAGTTGCTGGACAAAAACTTAATTGACACTAAAACCGCATTATCCCTAAAACCGAGAGGCACACAAATCCCCAGACTATATGGTCTACGAAAAACGCATAAATTGGACAAACCTTTACGGCCAATTTTCCCATGTCTAATTAACCTACACACAGACTAGCAAAATGGCTTGTCAAGGAGTTAGAACCAATTTGACAATTATTTTCCACCTACACGACAAACGACAGTCATTTCATTGAAGAAATTAAGCACCAGAACATCGCCGACAAATGTATGATTTCCTTAGATGTCGAATCCTTATTCACCAATGTACCATTGGATGAAACAATAGATGTTATATGCGATCATGCGTTCGAAACTCGCCTGTTCCCCAAAATACTACGCGATCTGCTGGTACTTTGCATTAAAGATGTTCAACTTCTGTTTTATGGGGAAGTCTACGGCCAAAATGACAAGGTCGCGATGGGTATGTCACTCGGGCCAACCGTCGCCGACGTTTTTATGGGTTATCTAGAAGAAAAGGTGTCATCAAAATTAAACATGACTGTTTTATACAAGAAATATGTGGATGATATATTCCCGACTGTTGACAACGAGAAAGACGCCGTCGACATATCTTGTGTGATGAATAATTTGCATTTGACAAGTTACCCTTCCTAGACGTCCTCCTGTTTAGCGAGAGAGATGGTCCAATAAGCTGCTCCGTCCTCCACAAGATTACGTGGAAAAGGTAATACTTACATTTTAAGAGCTCTGAGCCAATACAGTGGAGGAGAAATCTAGTACATACTCTTTTTTAAAAAGCGACAAATATTTGCTTCAGGGAGACCATAAATTCAGAAACCGTCGCATCAAAGAAGCTTCAATTAGTCGCGATAATCTTGCACACTTCATTCAGAAGTACAGCAGCCACTTACGACCAAAGTTGACGGATCAGTCTGTTCCGAAGAAGCCCGTTATAATATGTTTACCTTTTATAGGTGATAACGTCTCAAACACACTCAAGCGACGCTTGCGTTGCACCCTAGAAAGAACTTACAACGCAGCAGAACTCGTCTTCATTAGTTCCACCAAAAGCCTGCCAATTAACCGGCAAAGGATGCCTTGCTGATTCACGCCACCCCAAATAGTGTGTATAAATTCACCAGCACTTGCGGATGCAAGGACACTGGGCGAACGCAAAGGCAACTGGCAACCAGGACCGCTGAACACTTGCCTAATTGGCTTTTTGAACAAGAAGAAACTCCCGTTGGTCTGTAACGAAACACCGGTTAGATAGCGGTTATGTTGTCGACCCTAGCACAGCTTTTCGCGTACTTGTCCGACCGCGTACAACTCGAGCCTTGCGCTACTTGGAAGCAGCTTATGTATGGAGGGAGAATCCAGGCCTATGCAAGCAGTTAGACCACGTGGTCAAGCTGCAGTTGCCCTTGTAACCTTCACGCCTCGATAAAATCGCGACCGTGATTTTCTACAGGAATCCCTGACGCAATTGCATTTTAGAGACCGGTGCCGACACCAGCCTATTTCCACGATCTCCAACTAACCATAAGTCACCTAACAGGGCTAACAGTGCTCCGACTAAAACATTTGGTCAACGATCCTTAACTTTAAATCTTGCCTTACAACGTTCTTCTCGCAGGACATTTACTATTGTGGACATTTATACCGCTGTTCTCGGTGCCGATTTTATGTCCTTCGAAGTGCCATCTCCGATTTCGCCGCCTCCAATTACATTTGATAACCGCGTGCATTCCTCTACCTCCGCCACCCGCAACTCCACCCCCCTACGCGCAGTGGTAGTCCTGTCCGTTTCCGTGATCGTTATCGAACCCTACATTAGGCCTAGCACTTTTATATTTCACTCCATTTTTTTCACTTCTGAGCTTTGTTCTCTTAGGAGGGAGGAGTATTATAGTGACAAGAAACACTATGTTTTAGTGTGTTAGGTTTCGCCTGTAAATTTAAACAACAACTTCCAATATCAATTCAACGTCAAACTGAATCCTCGTGTTTAATTTGTTTCCTCTTATTTGTAGCCTGATCGCTTAGGCCGAAGGATAGTCCGATTTATATATTGTAAGTGCATCATAAGGATAAGCTGATTAAAAATTATAGTAAATACAGGGTTTTTAAGTGGTTTTTATTTATCCCGCCGCCTTTATCAAGCTGGTACGCCCGTTATGCATGGGACTAGTCACCTTTGTCGGATTGGGTAAAGTCAAACTTTGTTTGCATCTAGTGATTTGCTCCATGCCTTGTAGTACTTTGGTCCGCGTCAAAATATTTTAAATGGTATTTGCATTTGTGTAATTCACAGGTATTAAAGTGCTCGCGAACATTTATGCTTATTTAAAGGGATTACTTAGGAATTTTTGCCTCTAAACCTCAGATCCCCTAGCTACTTAACACTTGATCAACGCCTTTAGAGTGGGCGTTTGTCATACGTTCTTCGGGCTACTATCGAATATACCAAGATGATGATAGTTAGAATAGTACGTCATAATTTGACGATTTATGTGAAACAGATGCTATTCAATACATGATTCCACAGCAAAAGCAGATTTCTCAATTTGCGCTGAACATTGAGCGTATGTGGACAAGCAAACCTACTTTACAGAACTAGGGCAAAAAGCGCATTCTTCGTCTTTATCGCAGCAGACAGATCACAGGGATTCTATTGAGTATGTCACTAAGTTTACCTCTCCCCAACTGTAAAAGTGGCACAACAAAGAACCTGGAGCTTCCTGAAACGACACTACTTTCTTTCTTTTCTCCCCGCTCACCGGACCCGTTTGAGGGTCCCCGAATTTAGCACTTCCTTGCGCCTGAAGGTTTACAGCTCTAGTGAAATTCTAGATATCATGCGGGCATGTTTACGCTCCGTCTGTGAAGAAGGCTGAAAAATCTCGCTTGGAGTTATCATTCCACTTCGCAGAAAGCCATTTGTTCGTCGGCAGGACCGTAAAGCTTCCCTATTTCGGGTCCAGCTTCTGGACACAGTTGCCGCCATTACTCACTGCCGATGCTTTCGAGAGTGGATGACGCACGCACACGACAGTTCGCCCGTCGTGACCAACGATGCCTACCGCGTGCTGCACAGCAGGCTGGAAGCAAACGCTGCGACATACGCTGCATCTACCGCTTGCCCTCCTCCTCCTCCTCCTCTCCGACCTGGACCCGGTTTCCTGACAGTGTCAAGGAGACCGAAGGTAAGAGAGGACACAGGTGGTTGAAACGGCGAAAATCCGCACATAGGCTTACCACTGCGTTTCTTGGTCCCCAACGCACACTTGACCGGGATTTTAACACAAAAACAAGAGGATAGGGACATTGGCACAGGTCCCAACTCCTACGGCGTGGGTCTGCGTTTCACTACAGCTCATCATGCACCACCTGGTTACACCCTACACTTGACCAGGATATGCGTATCACGACGGGTGCGGCACGGATCGCACATGCGGCTGAGAAGCCACGTAGTGAGGAGCCGAAGAAAACACTTCCCACTTGCATGAGAGGTGCCGGTGGTAGGTGGAGACGGGGGAGTGCATGTGTGATGCAGGCGTTGGCGGGCAGAGTGTGGTGGTGGTGGTGGTGGTGGTGGTGGTGGTGGTGGTGGTGGTGGTGGTGGTGGCCAGGCCTGAAGTGGATTGCAGCAGAGTTTGAAAAGTTACGTGTGGTCAAATAAGTGAGAGAATGTTTTTGAGCAGTGTGAAAGATGGAAGCGGACGCGGCGACTGCATATCGGGAACCCAGGCACTGGTTCAGCAGTCTCCATGAGATGGATTCTCAAATGACCGACCAGGCCAATGCGCAAGGCGAGGATGCGGCGGAAGTGTGGACAGGATAGGGGGGAGGTGCTGAGTTGTCAGAGGTTGTGCTTTTGTTACTGGTAACTGAGCTGGTGGGAGGGCTGGGGAGGGTAGTGTTGATGGATGTGCAAGGTGCGTAAAGTGCATCGGCATCGCAATTGATCCCAGTGTCATTAATGCTCATGTGGCCGAATGGACTCGAGCCGCGAGTGAATGTGTGAGGGCAGTGTCGCCAGTGAAGGCGGATGTGACGGGCGCCTTTCGGTGCCCCTGATACCTGTTTGTCAGCCTCTGAAATAGATTCGCAAGCGACTGACCAGCCCGACGCATGGGATGAATGTGCGATCAGAACGAGGACAGCTGGGATCGAGTTTCCATTATTAATGGTGGTATTGGCGACAAGGGTATATATCGACAGGAAGACGGATGTCTTTTCATCGCCGATGGGAGTGGATGAGGGGGAGTGCGAGGGAGGCGGATCAGAGTTGCTTTGTGCGGGGATGCCAACACGGGTACTCTGGCTTGGTTTAGTCGGCCGGTTAAGGTGGTTACGGGGGAAACCACACGACAGTTCGACCGTAGTCGCTGACGATGTCCACCGGGTGCTTCACGGCAAGGCGGAGCAGGGACGGTGACTTGTGCGTGAGTTAGTTTGTAGTGATGGTGGGCTTACACAGCATCTACCGCACTCTCCCTTCCTCCCATACCTGGGCACGGTGTCAAGACAGTGTCAAGAATGCAGGAGACGGGGGATGGCGTAGGTGGATGGTATGGTTGAGCCCGCACCTTGGCGTTCCACTGCACACCCCCTGGTCCACACAACAAATGACCAGGATTTTAACCAACAACAACAATGACGAGGATTGCAGGGGTCCCAATGAGCGTAGCTGTGTCGGCAACTGGGTCTGCAATCATATCCTGAAACGTCGGCATATGTTTTGGTGCGCATTCCGATCACGCCGGCCAGAATCTCATATGGTCATCCTGTTTGTCCAGCGCATCTGCCACGCGGGCCAGTTTGCGGCACATACACACACACACTCGCTGATGCTTGGTGTGGTGCGAGACGGCATGGGATTTTATTTTTTAGGATGCTGGCGAGTGATGACGGAGAAAGTGAAAATAGTAAGAGTTAAAGAAAGGGATATCCGAGCGAACCGTAGGTTGCTGTTCGCCCACTCCCGGACTGCGTGGCGTTTGGAAATTTCCTCACATTTATGTCAAGTGACTTCAAGAGTGGAATTCTCATGAATAGCCAAACTCGCATTTTGCCAAACAAAACTAATCGAGTTAAAACCATTGGGGATAGGAGTTGTCAAAAGCCGGTAAATTTAGGTGGAATCGCGGTCACACATTATTAAAAGGCGAAGTTTCGCCTCAACGTGCTTGCATTATTTCTGCAAAATGAAAGCCATTGCCCACGGCCTACATGCATGCGGGGCGAAGCGCTCGTGCTGAACCGCTGCGACTGGTTCCGATCATATGTAGAAAACCAAGCCACGACCGACTGCCGCCCCCTGTAACCGATTCAGCAAGAAGCTTTTCGTAATTTGTTCTCGTGGGCAGCGGTCCCAATATGGTGTGGCAGAGGTGTGGTGGGAAGGTCCAACGACAATACAGGTTTCATGGAATTCCTGAAGAATTTCAACACTTGATCTGTTAGTAACTGCCATTACTGCCAAGAAAGCTTTAAATGAGCAGGGTATCCCTCGCGAATTACAACTGCCCGGTGCTGACATCAGATGAGGAGATGGAAATGACCTCCATTCCCAATGGCAGCATACGGAAAAGTATACACGGAAGTACGCCACCCTATTGGTTGGAATATACCACCGGGTACGTCATTCACGCAATACTTCATGAACCTATCCTTTTTTCTACAGTTCTTCGCGGCCTATTGTTGTGAACGACGCTTTTCATATCTGGCAAGAACTAAAGGCAGCAGAAAGGTTTCTTTCTGTTTCGTGCTTCCTAGATATTTCATTATCATATTTTAAACGAATTATCTACTAATTGGTAAGAAAGGCGCTGCCTGTAGTTAATTTCCGAAGACATTCATTTTACACGGAAAGCTCGTTGTGGCGCCCGAAAACCCCGTGATCTCTATTTATTTGCATGTCTGCATGCTTTACTGGTTGGAAATTTCACAGTTTTCTTGAGCAACCCTTAGTCCCACTGGCGATAACGAAGGCACCTTTTTAAGTCCAGGTGCACTGATTGGTCGAAAAAAGGACATGCATTTCCTGACAGCCCCTTGTAACAACTCGTCCATCAATATTATCGAAAAGCTGACAATATCGGTCTCCAGGTAGGTGGTCGTGTTGCGACGATAGCTTAAAAAATACTGCACTTCATGTGCGCCCGGTACCCTTCCACTTGTCGTAGACGCATCAAATTTTGTAGCCTACCGGACGATGGACCAGAGAGCAAGCGTCTGAACGGCCGTTGGTCTGTCCGGTATGGGCAAAGTATGCATGACAACATAACGGTTCTAAAAAAGGAAACAAATTAGTATGGAAACGGGTGGGCGGCACTGGTACCAGTCATCGGAGCCCGAAAGACGGGCATACGCGCGAACTGACTAAGACACGTCGGGGCGCGCGCCCACGCATTCGCTCCCACCCATGTCTCTCACAAATTCTCGTCCCAGCTTACCAGCCATCTTCTTCTGATTCTTTTTTTTTTCACAAGATTTTCAAGAGAACTAAACCAACTGAGCAGGAGTGAAAGTCTGCAAACAGGCGACCTCAAAATTAGTATTTTTGTATTAACTGACGGACGAGGATTGGCGTGGCAGAACACAGTAATGCGAAGCGTTGCTGACGATGATGAGGCTGCCAATGGGTAACCATTTCTAACTGATTTTCCGTTGTCAGTCACTGCCAGCTGCGCACTTTTAGTGACCTCTGCCCTCACCAGTAACCCTTTTCCATTACGGATCGCCTGTCACTGTTCGTACCCATGTGGGTTCTAAGGTAGAACCTCAAAAGCTAATATGTCTGACTATTTTCGCGTCCCCAATCAGGACACGCCTGTGAACGAATTGCCTTTGTTTCGACAGGATTTGCTGCAAGGGCCTCCAAATCTTTCACGGTGTGTCTAACTTGCGAGTTTGTATGCATCAGGTGTATAAAGTATACTGAAACCATGACGTGTTCTTAGAACTAGTAATGCTGACGTAGTCGGGACTACAGAGTAAAGTAAGAACGATAATGGGCGAAAAACATGTGATGTCATACAATGGGGATGCTGAATAGGAATATGTCTAGACGTATATGTTGTTCTCAGTCGCAAAACTCACAGCGCAAAATTCATATTCTTAAGTTACTTACTTTTAACCTTTATTAAGAGTTATTTGCTTTACTTGAAAGCACGGCCAAATGCCCATTTCGTGCACACTGTTTTAGATAATTTCATCTACTTGAGATAAGGGATTTTAAACAAGATAACGTGGTATCCTGACATACTTCCTTTAGGCGTTTACATGAAACCTGATGTACGAAGGTCCGTTTGACCTGCTTGCACTTTATGCCGATTGCCTTTTACTTCCGATTTATGTAGAAATAACATCCTAATTTCCAGAGATTACGCGTAGCAGTTAGTGTGTAAACTTGAAGCACACGTAAACTGTAGATCTCATTCTAAGCGTTACTGCTTATCACGCATACTACACATTAACATATTTGCACCCTGCAGTGTATGTTTTGAGGAGACACTTTAGCTAAACCGGACTCTAAAGAACGAACTGTCTGTTGAAAACAAGCTCGACTTCACCTAAAAATAGAGTGGCATTAAGAACTTAATGTGTTTATGCATAAGATTACCGCTAAGGGCCCGAAAATATTATTGACATAAATCGATTATCAGGATTATACAAATAAACATCAAGTACGTGACCTATGTCATGAAACCTAATAACGGAAATTAATTTAAGAATTTCCGGACGTCTTTATTTATGCGCATTTTACGTGCTCATCCAGCCTCTCCAATAAAGTGTCCTTTTGAGGAAGTTCGTGTCGGCGAACGTACGTTTTTAGATTATTCTCTGTCAGGCCAGAACACTAATATAGGTCTAGTTAGACCAGCGAAATCTGAGAAGTAAAGCAACTTATGAACAGTAGTCATGACTTGTGGTAAATGTGTTCAGACCTGTAGGGGCGGCGGAAGAGTTATAGTCTAATTTCTGTCAATGGTACGGGAAGGGGGAAGAGGTAGGGTAGTCTGACTGAGTTGTGCTTTTGTTTCATCGTTGTGGCTCGACGTGCGATGGTGCGGGTCGGAACTTTCATGGCTCAGCTTTGACCAGGGTAGTAGGGGGCATTAATGAAGGCCTTCTGCGAGCACAAGGCTAGATTCGTTAGTCATATGGCTACTGCCTCCGCTGTCACAAGTATCCCTTGACGTAGGGATTTGGAGCGTCTTGCCGGCGTCTTGACGTCTACCTGGTAGCCGGAGTCAACCAAGTGGGCCACAAAGGCGCTAGAAATGGACTTTTCCCGCCCTGATATAGCCAGGCAGGATGGTGTTCTCGCATCCGCATGGGTAGGCGCCTTGCTGTTCGACCAATATAACCTGCTCCACAACAGCAAATGGACAAGTACACGGAGGAGGTCTGAAACTGTAGCTTATCCTTGCCTCCAAGGCGGAGAAGTGGGCTGCTGGAGAAAAGTAGTCTTATTCTAACGGCAGGGTACGTGCGGGCAATAGAGGAGTTTAGATTACGTTGTAGAAGGTCACAGGTCGGATCTCCTAAAAATGGCAAAGTGAGAAACAATTCTTATCCACCATCGGTAAATGCGATTTTGGTGAATGATCTTCCATATATCTGCCGATAAACTTGTCGGAGGAACCATTTTCTCTCAGCGTGTTTCGTATGAAGGCGAGTTCATTCTCAAGTGTATCCGGAGTTCAAATTCACCTAGCTTCGTTGCCTAGGCAAAGAATTAAGTCTCGTTTCTGACTTAGAGGAAAAAAGCTGTAGAAGTTTACATACTGGCTTGTCCATGTTTTCTTGCGATATACACTTCTAATAATTGTTCCATCAGGTATTCTGCTAAGAAGGACGTCAAGAAATGGCAGAAATTCTCCCTCACCACAGCCCGTCGCGCCACAGCGATAAAGCATAAGCACAACTCAGTCAGACTACCCTACATCTTCCCCCCCCCTCTCCCTCTATAATTATCCGGCCACCGTACAGGTTTGGACACACTGACCACAAATTATGAATGCTGTTCATAAGTTCGTTTTACATCTCAGATTTTGCTAATCTAACTAGACCTATATTAATGTACTGGCCTGACAAGGAATAGTCTAAAAACGTACGTTCGCCAACTTGAACTTTTCAGTGTTTAAATGGACATCATCACAGAAAAATGGCCTTTTCTTGTGCATAAATTGTGTTAACGTAGTTATATCCAGCAAAATATTAATAAATTTTAGCGAAAATGCATACGTTGCAATATATACGTGCGATTCCCTATGTTAATACCTGTCCTAGACTTCGGTTGAGCATTTGAGCTTGTTTCACATTGAAAAAAGAGTAATTTACTCACGAGAGATTTAATAAATAGCGGTTGCCGGGCTTGAAACGTTATTTTATGTCCGGTGTTAACCTTGGTAATCAACTTGCTAACACAAAGGTTATTTTAAGATAACCAGATGTTTTGTCGATTTCTAGGAGTCATAGTAGCAGATCCGTGCAAATAGGTGCTTTGAAGTGTAGTAATAGCGCAGACAGGGATGAAATTGTTTTGTCGTATAGAAAAATGTACGTGATGTTATCTAAATAACCACCACTGCATGGTCATTTCCAGTTTTGAACATGTAAAACATTATTTTTCGTGTAGTCAAGTTTCCGCTCATAACCCTTTCAGAAATGGAACGAGCCAAACATTAATAATATAAGCCAAATATTTGTGTTTATATGGGCACCCTACTTTGCATTCATAATTGAAACTCGGGATCTAAAAGCGAACAAAAACAGTGCAAATGGCCGCAATATATAAGGAAATGCATGTTCTTCCGTTTACGATAACAAATATTAGTATTACTTAGAGACTTTAAAAAAATCGGCCAAAAGTTTTAAATATTTTCTTGGCTTGGCCGTGCAAAAATGCAATGTACACAGAGATCCGCCAACAGAATCCAGTAGTAAAGCAATTCTCAAAGAGGTAACCTACTAGAGAGCGTTTTAAAATTGATCATAGGCATATTCGTTGTGGACGGCTGTGTTATTCGAAAATGAAGTTTCGTATTTGAACGAGTCCTGGAATATGGCCTAAACAACCTTCTTCATGAAAAGAAACGTCCAAAAACGCAACAGTTCGGTAAATTTCTTCGAGAAGTATCTTATTTTACAAATTTAAACAGAGATATAATACACAATCTGTCTTTATAGACGATTGAGTGAAAACACTGAAGACCATGAAGCATTCAGCAATATTTCAAAAACGATCTGAAACTCAACGTAATCCAAAGCAAACGAAAAGTTTAAATCTATTTAGCGGAAGAAAATTTCTCTCTCTAAACACCAAATAGTTTGTTTACGATCACGCCTGTCAGTTCTATTAAAATTTATTCGTCACCGCTCGGCCTGGCGGCATGTAAGTCTATGAAAACATTTGTTCCTATGACGTCCACATTGGTGAAATCAAACAAATCCCGTTCCTCTTGCTGAACCGCACCTCATTTAATTCAAGCGATCACGAATACCACGAATTCCTGAAAGACTGTTTCGATATCCATACCCAAAATGTAGGCTGTTGACAAACCACCATATGTGAACTTACACTAATTCATAAAGGATATTTAGATGTTAACTTCACCGAACTACTATCTTTAGACGTCAATTTATTTGTGGTTTCATATTTACTACGCTTTTTGCATGAGAAATAGTCTATACATTTAAAAACGAAGTTTACTAGATTAAAATCATTTTTGACGTTTTAGGAATATTACACTTTTCTAAAAAATCGTCATTTCAAAGCAACGCAACGCTGTCTTTAATAATTTTAAGTTTAAAATTCCTTCAAGGTCGTATTTAATAAACATAGATATTGGATCGATTAACTGGTATCGGTTTGCGAGTGATTGACAATCATTTGTAAGTTTCGACACATTTCTTGAGTTAGGTCACAATCAGTACTTTCTCCTAAGTATTGTCTTTTCACTAAATTAATGTATCAAATTCGAAAGAAGAAAGTGCGATTGCTCAAACAATAGGTTTCTTGGCTTGAAGTTTCAGATTCACGTTAAAATACATCGTCAGAGACAGGCGCAGAAACGAGCAAAGGAAATACAGTGTGCAACATTTACAGAATGCAGTTGACCAGCAATCACATCCTACAATAATTAGCAGTACTCCTGCTCACCGCTGGAGACCATATTTGATGCAATAATTGCTTGTCGGTCCGTACTCGAGTTGTAAGTAGTGGGGATTTCATCACCGTTGTTGACCCTTCGCGTGACGATGACTCCGCAGTGGGGCTCACTGTCATCGGAATTGTCAGCTGCCCGTGCCCTTCCCGCATGGCTAACTATTTTGCCCAGGCAAAATGGCAACACAGAATATGGAGGTGGAAGATCATTGCGCTTGTTAATTGAATGCGGGCCGGAGAACCATGACTCAGGCAGCTCGCGCCTAACGCGGTTGTCATCTCTTAAGAGAACTTCGACCTCATCAAACTCGAAGGTGTGGCCGGGTCCCGTCGAATGGTCCGCGATCTGAAAACTGGCGTAATTCTTCCTCACTGTTGCTGCATGCTCGACTATTGGCGTTTGGAGTACTCTTTCAGTTTCCCCGACGAAGTTGCATTGTGCGCAACTGCGTCCGATCTGGACGCTCCCGCGCTCTTCGCACGCAGTCGAGTTGCTGACTGCCGGATTTCGTCATCCGTGTGGACTCTTGAGTAATTTGCTTCGCCGAAGTCGACACCAGGAACTGTGGTCATTCGCACGATCTTAGCGAGGTTAACAACTTTTCCTGGGTAAAGTCCCAGCACCGAATATGGAGCGAGAGGGTCGTTGCGCTTGTTGACTGATTGAGAACCAGCAAACCATAGCTCAAGCAGTTTGCGACTCACACGGTTGTCGTCTCTTGCGAGAATTCGGCTTCGCCGAATTTGAATGTGGGATTGAGTCCCGTCGAATGAACCGCGACTTGGGAGCTGACGTCGTTCCTCCACACTGCTGCTGCGTGCTCAGCCTCCCGCATACGGATTACTCCTATTGTTTCTCTGCCATTAGTTGTTTCGTCCGCAAACTTACCAGACCCGGTAAACGACCCCAATGTCTTTAGCCGTGACAGTGGCCTTTCGGAATCATGATCTGGGGCATTTATGGTGTATTTAAAGAGGAAATTTTTTCATCCGGAAAAAAAATACACCTCGATGCAAAAAAATGAACACCAACACCTTTTTTCTGCATCTCCCACAGGGAGCCTAAGCGTTGCTGTCAGCGATGATAGGGACTCAATTATGATAAGTTATCTACACCGGTGAAGAGCCAACTCTGGTTGCGTGCAGTTCGCTCCATGCGCTCCTGATCTGTATAATTTTGGATCTAGTCGATAAAACGTGCTTATCTGCCCCCAGGTTTCTGGACTACCCGTGTGATTGCATATCACTGAAAGAGTAGATTATGAACCCTATTATAGTTCCCTGATTTGTGCACGCCGATTTACACCGTAGTCCGAAACCAGGCTCCCTTAGTGGGGCTTTCGAAGCAGTCTCCTCTATTAGGGCTTACCAGACTATAATAACAATCCAAAATGAATCAGTTTTCACTTCATAAACTGAAAAGAGCTTTATTTGACCGCTTTCACTTGTTGAAGAAGTGCACCTGAAGGTTGCTGTCCTTAGCTGGTAACTGAACATGTAGAAACGTGATACACTCCCAAAGGCAAGGCTGGGCTAGGTTCTTACAACAGCAGTTAAGGTAATGCTTTCGGTTTAGCTGTTGGGATTTCCAAACAGAGGTCTATATTTGGTTCTCTTATCAGCGCACTAACAGAACTTACCAACGTGAAGCGCCTGACCCCTTTTAGTCGCGTAAAAGTACTTTGACTGGCACGATTTAATTTCTGGAAGTGACTAAAGAGCACGAAGTTAGGTGACCTGCAGAACAGACAGTTGTTCTACATGGGTGTTGGGAGTGTAGGAGTGACAGATTGCTCCATGTTTCTCGTATGGGTGGTGGCTGCTTGGCACGGACCTTAACTGGAAATAAAACATAATCTGTGGCTCCCCGCAGATAAGTTCTGTCTAGCGGCCACACCCCGGTAAGTGCCTCCACCAGCGAGCTAAACCAAATGAGGGCATCTGGTGTGTGTCCACGCACCCAGTTATCCTATTTCCTGTCCATTCCTTTCCTCCTCCACTTTAAAAAAGTCATATGCAATATGCAATCCCGAAGGCGGGCCAGGATAACTAGGGTCGTCCCTAAACTACACAAAGCTGTGACGCATAGTGGGATTTGGCAGTCGAATGGGATGTCTAAGCAGTTATATTTAGGGATACCATTATACACCCCTCGCCGGGAGTAAGTTTGGAAAGATCGTTTACAAGCTAACTGTGGCTCGTAAACGCAAAACTCGCGTTCGAAACACGATATGAAATCAAGCATCCCCTCTCCATTTCTGCATTCCACCCCAAAATTTGCTTGAGTGACTCTGCTTACTCTGACAGCCTGGAATAATCGTTCTCTTTTAGGCAATTTCCTGAGTAACCGACCCGAAAGGGACGCAGTGCTGGTTTTTTGAGAACTGGCGCGCTAAAAGGCGGACGTGGTAGCTTCCAATGAGGCCCGATTCTCCCAACAGGGTCCATGAAAGGAAGGCGGTGTCGGCTACACCACAAAAGGGCAGAGCGACGTGACGCTGTTGTCGCCCTTATCATCAGCAATTACCTCGTAGGTCGGCTGCCCTGTTTGCAACAGGACATCTACCCTTTTGGCTAAGCAGATTCGTCGGCATTATCAGTTTCTACGACTATTCCTCCAATGATCAGCCTCGATGGGTTGACTACCTAATTCTAGGAAGGTCTGTAAGTCCCCCTGGTGGTTATAGCGAAGGCGGACAATCTGAATGTCCTCGGTGACGTCGATGCCTCCGTCAGAACAGATCATGATGCCTGCGAGGGGATGTTGGTTCATCAGGGGATCGGCGGATATAAAACAACGTCCTCCTCTTTCTGCGAACCTGCACAAAGCATCATCTTCCCCTAACCAACAAAACACAGTATTAAAAGCCCCTTGCATTGTCTGGGACGGAATTTTCGATAACGATGAACCAAAAGTAGTCAGGCTGATTCACGCCCCGGTTGCTAGTGTCATCAGAATTACTCTAACAGCTTAAGATGTTCGGCGTCTTTTAAACAATCCGCGGAGTAACCGACCGGAAAGAAGGACAGCGCTAGTTGCTCGAGGACTGACGCGCTGCAATGTGAACATCGCTGCTTTCAGCGAGACTCCCTCCTGAAAACAGGACATCTGGCGATAGTGGACTCCGGTTGCGCTTTCTTCTGAAGAGTCGCCCGAAGACGGAGGGACACGACCTGGCGTGACCTCTCCCTCTCGGAACGACATCGCGGGCGACTTCCCTGTCTGCCACAAATCCCCAGCGACCGTCTCACGACTTCGGGAAGCCAGTTTGGTCACCATCGTCGGCGCCAAATGACTAATTGCAACGAGATGAGGAACAAGTTCTACGAAGACCTACATTCCATCCTGGCGACTGTGTCGACGGTTGGCAAGCTAGTTTTCCTTGATGACTTCAATGAGCGCGCCGGGATAGACGGCGCTGTCTGGAGGGGAGTATTGGGTCCAAAAGGAATTGACGGCTGCAACGACAACGGCCTCATTCTCTTGCGAACCTGCGCAGAACACCGTCTCCTCCTAACCAACACTCTCTTCCGCCTGCCGATGCGGAAGAAGACGATCTGGATGCACCCATGATGACAATGCTGCAGCTGCTGGACTACGTTCCGTCTGGAGGAAAGTTCGACAGGACGTTATGACGAAGAGGGCTGTCTGAAATGAGGATGGTTGGACGTATCACCGCTTCGTAATCTACAAGACGAAGCTCCGAATCCAGCTCCGTTGGGAACTAAAAGGTAAGCGACCACTATGGAGGTTAAACACTGCTTTATTGGATGTGTTTGCTCCTAATGTAAGTTTCAGCTATGATTTGTGTCACTGCCTGGAAGAAATGCAGACTCCTCAAAACGCCGTATTTAGGGCGCGATGACGTCAACCGCGAAGCGTCATTCACTCCGCAGCCCTGGACGTCCTTTGTCGCCGGTATTGAGCGTGGCTTGATAAAAACGAAACAGAAAACAACGGCATACTCGCCGAGAAGAGTAGGCTGTACAAAGTCTATATCAACCGCGGCGTCGACGCAAACATGCGGCGTACTGCAGATGTCGCGGTCTTGTGCAGCAACGACTGTGGAGATACAGAATTGGTGGGTGACCCACAAGGCTGTAAAAATACGAGAATATACGGATCACAATGAAATGGAGAATTCCCTCTCGTCAATCAAAATGTCCTACGGTCTCCGCGTCAAGGGAACCGCGCCGCTACTACGAATCAACTTCTGAAGCGCCGGAACGAGTTTTTCAGAAGCGTCCTTATTCGGCTGTCCACAATTTTTAACGTTGCAATACAGAGGTTCCCTCAAATGGAACTTAAAGTCAGTCTTGACTGGAAGCCCTCGCTGCAAGAGATCTTCATAGCCGATGCCCAGATGCCCAGAGGCAAACCACAAGCAGCCGGCGCAATCTCAGCCGAAATCTAAAATACGGCGGCCCTCTGCAGCTTGGCTACTTGGTTGACTACGCTCTCAACACCACGACGGAAATGAATGTGCAACGGAGCATGGAGATCTTCGCCTCTGGCTGAGCATTAACAAGGAGACAACGGTGGTCATGCAAAAGCCGATGCCCAGCGCAGAATACAGTGGCTTTTTCGTCAGTGTCGACGGCACTTAGCTCAAAACAGTGAACCAATTCGCCTATTTAGGCAGTGCGCTGTCACGGAACACCACAATCAAATCTAGCCAGACAGGCTTTTGGCCATATGCAGGCCTTAGTTTAGAATCGCTGCGGCCTTTGTCTCCGCACCAGACTCAAGTTATACAGACCTGTCATACTGGCAACTCTGAATGGAACAAATACCTGGTTCTTCTACTATAAACGGTCCAGGAAACGCGATAATTTTCGCCTCAGCGACCTCCGGAGAATACTAAAGCTGAGGTGGCAGGACAGGATCTCGGACATAAAAGTTATCGAAAAGGCCGGAATTCTCAGCATCCACGCCATGCTGAGGCGGCTGCATCTTCGATGGAGCGACCACCTCGTAAGAATGGACGACAGGTTACTGCTTAAGCGATTTCCCTAAGGAGACGTCGCTACGGGTGCACGTTGACAAGAAGGAGAAAAAGCGAAGCTACAAGGAGACCCCGAACACATCTCTCAAGCATGTGCAAATCAATTCGGCGACCTGGTAGGACCTCGCCCAAGATCGACCAGCCTTGAGAAGAGCAGTGCAAACTGGAGCGTCAAACTACGAGGTCAGCCGGATTGCCGCTATCAAAACCAGTACATCTGCTCGCAGTTATTAAGCGCCTTCGAAGCACAACGCTACCCCCGGCAACCTTTCCGTCATGTCCATTCTGTGAACGAACATTTCACGCGCAGATCAGCCACTTTCGGATCCAGTGAAATAACAGCACCACAACGTTACTTGTTCCCTCGGAAAACGCCACCTCCGCCACCCTTGCCGCAATCTCCACGACTTCCTCGATGGCGACATTCACCATCACCACCAATGAGCACGCTCTCGGTGCTCCGCTGCCGCAGCCGCGGTCCATCAGTGTCTCCAGCGTCCTTGCGACAATCCCCGCGATGACCACGACCACCGGCACTCCCACTTCCGATATCGCTGAGAACACCCCCGCCACTAACACCACAACACCAACCTGTTCCTATTCCGATAGCGACTTCATGTCGCGCATTGGCCTGGTCAGTCATCTGCGCATCCATCGCAGTGAGACTTGAGAAACCTGTTCCCGATATAACTGCGTCGAATCTCTCCCAACCGCCCACACTTTCTAAGTCCATTCAGTTACTGTACGGAATCATCCAGTCACATGCGCATCCACGAAAACAGAATTCATTGCAACGTCAACATACCAAATCCACCTTACACATTCAATACCTTTCCTGCCTTCTATATTTCAGACTTCGCCTTCTTCAGCGTTATCACCACAGGTAGCATCACCACCATCAATTTACCAGCTGACTACTTGTCCTGTCAGTATTTCCACCGCTCATTTACACTGCGCATCTGGCCTACCGGCCACATGAGAATCCATCAAACAGAGACTGCCAAAGCAGTGTCGGGAGCACCAACACTTACCCGTCGTCCGTCCCAAATACCCCCATCTGCCCCCAAACATTCAATATCCGCTTTCATTAAGTTGTAGCGTCTAATCAGTGAGAATACTCAGAACGCTACAATCCTCAGGTCAAATCCCGAGTGGTAGGAGAGAGCAGAAGTCACCCAAATGAGCGGATTATTGTATACAGAACCCTGGGTTGCCCTCTCAGTCGGCAGAGGCCGCCAGCGAAACCAGGGCTAGTGTTGACCGCGTCTAGCCATGCCCGTGATTTAGTGAGATACTGGTGGCAGCCGCTTTTGTAAGTTTGTGGAGCAAGCTCAAGTGGCATTTGTCGAACGGTGGTGCTCAACCGGCTTATGCTGTGCCCGCAGGGACGGTGACGTGTTCAAGTGGCGCATAAGCAGCTGCGACTCTGCGGACACATGTGTGTCGGACCTGAAGTCGGTCGATCAGCGTGTCGGGAACCGTTAGGTGCGAACGTGAATGAATAAGAGGCAACAGAACCTTGAAAAAGAACGCCAAACCTGCCCATGATGCCTGTCGACAAAAAAGTGCAGTAAAACACCGCAGAATAAACCCAGCATCACGCATCTCCCCGTCAGCTCATACATCATAGACAAACTCGTTCCATATCACCCACCACAGATGCGGACTAGGCACCTCTCGCGCAAGCGGGGAGCGCGTTTTTTAATGCAACCTGATGCCAAACTAGGTCGCTTCTGACACACGCAGATGGGCTGTTTTGGCTCTGCCGGCCACAGCGCCCACTTCCGGCACCAGACATCTGACCGGATCGAAAATCGAGTGATGCGTGGGAGAGGGAAGAGAGACTAAAGTCAATTCTGGAGACTACATCACCACGGTGCCTCGTTGCACTCCCTCACTATAAACAATCGGACACACTTTGAAGCTATCATAATACGCTAAACGACGTGGCTTCGAGGGCTGCTAACTGATGGCATAACTCAGACTTCGCAGTTAGTAGTGTGTATGGAGTGGCTGGCTGGCAGACTGCGAGTCGGTCTACAACTGCTTCCCCTCCTTGTGACTTCGATGACGCCCGCACTCTGTTCTGGCCTGAACCCGCTTAACCCATCGTTTTCTGTGAAACCCTGAGTCCATTATGGGCGTGTGTGGCACGCGTATACGGGCTGTCTGGTTTTGTCATCCGCTGCGCCCGATCCTGCCCGGATAGTTCTCACTCAGTCTTGCTAGCTACCCCAATAGACTAAGGGGGAAGAGGGTGAGAGTGTTGCGGATGCTGCGCAATCCCGCTATCACTACGCACTAATTCACACGATATTCATCGTCTCTGCGTCCACCATGCTATGGGGCACACGGTTAACATCATCGGTTACAACGATTGGATTGTTGTCTATGCATAAACTAGTTTAGTGCCCCCGACCAACTAAGCAGTTGTACACGATAGGCTTACTCACGCTCCGTCTCCCCTCTCTCTCTCTCTCTCTCAGACAGGTTGGAGTAAGTTTTGCCCATTATATCCAGCTTTGGCTAATTAGATCTTGCACGGTATAACGATTGGCCGCAAGACTTTAAATACATCACGTTAGGTTCTGTGTCTACACTGACGAAAAGGATGGCACTGATGATGATGGCGGCGGTGGCGACGGCGGCGGCGGCGGCATCTGACGCTCAATTTCATCTTGGCTTTGAGAAGCCGTACTTAGCGCAATGACCACAACCCTGTAACCGCTTTCCCTAATTGGTTAGACCAAATGAACGTTTCCGCCTTGTCTTACCCCATCAGGCTAGTATGCGTGTCCATTTGTCTTCTGTAGCACTAGAATAGACTGTGTTTTGGCACCTGCAGACAGCCTCCGTACCAAGTCAGCCATGGCCTCCGGAAAAGGCAATGCTCTGCCAAGAGTGTGGCAAGCACTTCTACAGATGATTTTGGCGAGGTAAGTTTGTTACCTAACAAAAGACAAGTTGAAAGAAACATTCAGCAGCAGCTTCGAATGTCTGAAACGTCCTGGTGGGGTAAGTTACATTTGCCCCACGGAGGGATTGGAAAAGTGACGTTTAGTGGAAACGATGGAAAACTCAACAACACCTATTTTCCACTGGTGATGAACAGATGAAAAACACTACGGCAACTGTCTACAATCCACTCCTCTTACCAGGGTGACCCTATTTGCTTCAGCAATCCGAAGTGTCTGTAAGCTGCCAGCAAACTCTCAATGGACTGCTTTAAATGGGAACCAACGTTTTCCCTGATTATTTGCTCTTTACGCAGGAGACTATCCGGGTTGTATAACAGATGTCCAGTGAAAAAGCTCCAGGTACCGAATTAATTCAAGCAGAAGGCGACAAATACGATGGTCCTCAACTTTCAGACAGACCAACCCGGTTGTCTTGGGAGGCGAAAAGACAAACAGATCTCACAGCACGTCCAGGACGCCAAGTCAGTCTATTTCAGAAAGACGAAAAAGTCGGACGGGGACATATGAACCCACCCAGGACTACAGGTGACCTCACACTTGATTCCAGGAAGGGTACCTATTTCCGCGTCCTAACCGTAGCCCAGATACTAACCCTCGTAAACTAAACCCCGCCTCGCCTAACCCTACCCCTAACCATAATTATTATCCTTACCCTCTTGACCTTAACTCCGCCCCCTGGAATTTAGGACAAGGTCACCTGTAACTCGTGAGATCCATACACTTATACGTCCAGCCAACGAAAATAATACCTTCCTGGCTATGTCACCCACAGCATCATCTTCCTCCCCAGTATTTCTGTAACATCCTATTGGCATTCTTCCTAGTCGACTTGTTACAAAGACTTTTTCCAGGGAATCAAGACAGAGGCAAGGGTGTGGTTTATTACCGGGATTACCTACTCCGGGGCACAATTGTGCTAAAAGAAAATAACTGACGATATTTATTTGTACGTGTCGACGAAAAAATAGATAGACCTCCGGTGGCTGTTGCATGAGAGGTAAGGTAGTCATCGGAATAAAAATACGACAATACAATACCTTTTTGACAGTGCCTGTAAAGAGACATTACAACCATTTGCCATTATCATTAAAGGGTATAAATAGTGTCGCTTTTTAATCAGTGACATTATGAAGGATAAAATTTTGTGATACCATAAAGTTTTTAAATGTTTGGCCTTTTTGCTCAGTACAAACGTTCTCCAGAGTAACTAACACCGGCCATAAACCATACCCTTGCCAAGACATCCTAGAAGGCTTTTTAAAACGTCGAACAAGTTTTCCCTGCGCAGCAATCGCGGAATTATATCAAGAAATGAGGGAAGTCTTCCACACCACCTTTTTGATGCCAGAGAGGTCTTTAACTGTGAACTTAGAGGGATTTTAGAAAATGAGGATAAAATTGCGATATGTAGACAGGATCACATCAATGGTCCGTTGGCGCCACGAAGACATTATGGCGCACGTCATGAAGACAAATAAAAGTAGGACTCATAGCTGAGGTGCTTTTGTAACTCTTGGAATCGCCGGTCTCCCGTCCCCGAGGGTCGGAATTCTGATTTCGGCGTGTTAATGTCACCTTTTTCGACTTAAGAAGGAATCAGGTGTTGACATTCGAAGGCCATCTCAAGGCCGTCTTCCCGCACATATGATTTATGAGGGAGGATAAAGAAAACAACTAACTGATCTCCTTTCAATCCTTAACTTCAGCAAGGAATGTGGTGACCTAAAATCTGTAGTCTTCAGGAAGGCCACAAACACGGCGCAAGTACTGAACTTGAACAACAATCACCAAAACAGTCGCAAAAGCGTTTGCGTAAGGGCGCTATATCGATGTGCTGAGACGTACTATAGACAAAGTTGCCGAATTGGAATAGCTTTGACGGGAGCTCAGGGGAAATGGCCAACGACACAAATTTGTCAACCGATGCACGCACAAAGAAGACAGAAGACCAAATCACAACGGTCCAAAATTTTGGCAAGCGCTCGCGCAAGGTCTCGGAGAATGCCAGACGCCCTCGCAAGCCTCTTCAAGTTGGGGTTTCACACAAATCGGAGGAGCACGCAGTGGACATCGTCGGCAACGAGGGTACAACCGTCGGTTGCTTTTCATATTGTTTTCAAGTGAGAGCCCAAAACCTCGCAAGAATAAAATTCTTGCTCCAGTGATTGTATCCTTTTTTTGAAGTCCATTTTTGCTCCTTGGAGCTAGTGACAGAAATAATAAATGCCTAACATTTTTAAGCTGCAAATGCAAACCTATGTCTTTCGACACCGAAGTCTTACATCTATCAACACCTTCTCAGGACTCCGCTAACGTTTGAATATTAAGTGTGAGGCCTCTGAGAAACTGACATTGGATGGCTCTTCTGTAGTTTTGGAATACCTCCTCAACTGGAGCTGTGTTCTTTTTCGATTCTCAGATATGCAAATAATGCACTGATTGAGGCCTACTTCCACCGAAACAATTTCGTCGACAGCCTTGGCATCAGATGTGTTGAACTAGACTTCATGTTTTAAAATTTGCTTTTTTCCCCGTCAAACAATTTAACGACAATTTTATTTCAGATCCATGAGATTGCCTTAACTTTTTTTCAATACTGTGTCATATATTGTTGTCTAATTGCGGGTCGCCTCAGTCATCATTCGACGGGGAGTTCGACCGTTGTTTCGGACTATATCCACCCTGTTTCACG